ACGTCACCTCACTGCTCCCCATAAGTATTCCATTTCTTACTTGAGCGTCAAGACACAGACTTCCTTCTGAGCCTCTTCTGCCATTTTCCATGCATTCCCCTCATCTAGGTCATCACATGACTTGCCATTCCAAGGACCATGCCAAATTTTATAATATTTTAATGTCTCTGCATGTGCTGTTCCCATTGCTATTCATTGAACCAACAAATGTTTATCATAATCAGCCAATCCAGCTTGGCATTGTGCTGGGTGCTGGGGACCTAACCTTAAACACCACAAATAAAGTTTCTGCCCTCATGGGGTTTACATTCAAGTGGCAGAGGTAGATGTTACTCAAATAATCACACAAAGAAGTAAATTTAAAATGAGGCAGGTGTTAGGAATGAGCCATGACAGCATGTAACAAGAGCTAAGCTGATCTGCCCTGTGCATCTGGGAAGACTTCCCTGAAGAAGTGACATTTTCATGTATCTGAACAATGTGTAGGAATTAACAGTATCTAAGAAAGCAGGGTGCAAGAAGGGGCCGGATTGGGAGGAGGGGAACAGTGACTGGAGTTTTAGGCTAAGGAACCAGAAAGTATGCAGTCTCAGTGAGGCAGAAGTCTGGCTTGTCAGAAGAACCGAAAAAGGTCAGGCTTGCCAAGCACAGGAATTGGGGAAAAGAATGGCATGAACTGAGGCAATAAGGCCAGATGGGGCTAGCCATATGGACAGGGAAAGGTAAGAGACATGGTAAGAGTTCTGGTCTTTATCCTAAGGGCAGCGGAAGCCTCTGATAAGGTATAACAAGGTGTGTGTATGTGCATTTGTGTGTGTGTGTGTGTGTGTAAAAGAGAGGCAGACAGACAGACATCTTTGGAAACATTACACTAGCTTCTGAAGTGAGAATGGAGAAAGGCAGCAGGAGCAGGAGCAGAAGTGGGAGACCAGTCAAGGTGGCAGAAGTTCAGGTGAGACGTTATGGTACCTCAGATGGAGGCAGAAATAGTCGAGCTAGAGAAATATGAATAGGATTTGCAATGTTTACGAAGTGAACAATAACAGGACTCAGGCATGGATTGTATGGGGGGTTGGGGGGAATAAAGTGGTGAGGAGAGAAGTAAAGGATGACTCCTAGATTTCTGACTGTGCAGAGAGTTGGAGGTGCTGTTCCCTAAGGCAGGGGACCCTGGAAGAGCAGGTCCATGGTGAAGGAAATGGGGAGAATGGGAGTTGATATATTTTGCAGATATTTACGTGGTCAACATACATATACAAAATGCCTGCTCTGTTCTAGCTTCTGTCTGTCTATACAAAGACAGAAATGATTCCTGCCCACAAACCATTCACATTCTGGTTAGGTAGACGGGCAGAAAAAAGATTACTATAATCCAAATAACACAGTGGACTCAAGCAAAGCCACTAGAACACTAATCATTTCAAGTTCCTGTTGTTGCCCCCTGCAAAGTCCTCTTCAAGTGTTTCTGGGACACTTCCAGGGACTTTTCACATGTGACTAGGGCCAAGTCACTGGCCACACTGGTCCTGCTTCAAATTCCCTCCAACCCTGCCCACTGCCCCTACCAAAGGTGCCTTCTGCGGGAATGCTAAGAGCACCCCTAGTACTAGAGCAAGGCAAGTTAAGAGCATGGCCCTGAATGTGAATGCCTCCTTAAGTTCTGCTGGCCCTGAGGCTCTCCAGGTGCTGGAGCAGCCTGGTCCTGAAAGAATAGCTTCTCCCAAGCCCCAAGCTACATTAAATCATCTGGGCCCTGAAGCAGCACTGCTAGTGGCTGCAGTTTGAGTTCTGTTGGGGACATGTTGAGTTCTGTTGAGGAGTCTCTGAGACATCCAAATGGGGATGCAATAGGGATGCAGTTTGGCTATCTGGATTTGGAACTCAGAAGTCTGGGCCAGAGATTTAAATTTCAGAGCCATGAACATGGCAGAGCATGCACAGGCATGGGACCAAGCTCTGCTGAACTCCCGACATTAAAATGCCCTGCCCCCACTCCACCTGGCAACTTCCCAAAGATCCCACTTCCCTAATTCATGTCCGCAGTTGGTCAGTCACTCCTTCCTGTGCCTTCCTAGAGCTCTTTGTACAGTCCTCTAATATAACACTTTTCACACTACCCACTAACTCTTGGTTTACATATTTGTCTCCTTCACTCAAAAGTGAGCTCTTTGAGGAGCTCTTGGCTCTTATTCAATGTTGAATCTCATGCCATTTTCATCTACCACATTAGTAAAGACTAAAAATATGGGAAGATGTTACCCAGAATTGATTGAGAAGGTGGAAGAAGAGGATGCTACCTACCCTGCTCCTTGGCGTAGTTTTTTTGTGCCATTTCAGTAATTATTCTGTCAAAATATCGATGCTAATAAACAAACTATATTCTGTACAGTGATGTTCACTGCATTATGGTGTGCAATGCTGAAAAGCTGTCATCAACCTTACTTCTATCAGAAGGGAGCTGGTTAAAAAGTACTCAATGAAACAACAAGCAACCATGAAAAATGAAGTAGATTTACGTATACTGACAAGGAAATGTGACCAGAATATTTCATTTTTTAAAAGTCAAAAACTGTTCATATAGAATGTTGCAGATTGCATTTAAGACAAAGATAGACTTGCATGTAAATGTATTAAAACATCTGGAAAGCTGCACAAGCAACCATGGAATAGTGGCCATCTTGGGAGGGGGCAGTCAAATGAATGGGCAAGGTTTGGGGGAAATTTTACTTTTTAATTTATGCCTATCTTATGGTTGTATATTTCTTAAAAGTAGAATAATTTTTGAATTAAAATTTTTGAGTATTTTTGAAATAAAAACGTCTTAGAGGAAATTTTTAAATGCTAAATCTTGGGCTCCCGATCTTCTCCACCTTCCACATATTTGGCATTAAGTGGGTATTTAAGATTGAAAGGACGAACAACACTCTTGGAGGAGAAACTCTCAGGTCCAGGGCACGAGCCCTTCTCTCCTGGGACCTAGCTGCAAAGTAGGGGCGTTAGACAAGGCCTTCTGAGATCATAGAGGTTAGGTAACTACAGGCCAACTTGACTCTTTCAGTCTATCTGTTAGGGACTCACATGAAAATGAAAGTCTATAATAAAGTACTCAAGAATGTGTGTAATAACAATAACAATGGCTACTATTGGTTTTCGAGCACCTACTAATTGCAAGCCTCCAGGCTAAGTGCTTTACAGGCACTATCTCTTTTAATTCTAACAGCCCTGAGGTAGTAGGTATTGTTATGACCCGTGTTTTAGCGAGAGGAGGAAGCAGAGGGTGCATAAAGTAGCAGGTGAGAGAAAGAGCTAGCATGCTGACCTAACTTCATTTGAATCTCTATGCTCTCAATTGCTCTGGCTTCCTACACCATAGTAACCGGGTTATGGGAGGAAATATGGTACAAGAAAGTCTTTTTGGAACCTTCCCCCTCCAAAACAAAATCTAGCTATAGACAGTGAAAACAAGACAAGACTAGAGAGCAGGCCCTTCAGATCCACGGCCAACATGGAGTACCCAAAACTACTAGGCACTAAATGACATAAAAATAATGATTATTTCTGCTTATGGGCCCTACTGTCAGGTGGTTTGTGCTGCTATTGATGTTCACAATTCTGAAGATAGATGTCATTACCTCCATTTTATAGAGGAGGAAACCATGGCTCAGTTGTGCTTTTCCTAATGACACACACGATAAGGCATTGCTGGGTTTGAATTTGCCTCATTCTGAAGTCAGTCTTTTCTCAAGGCCATACTTTAATACCTTCAGGTCAACCTGGGGCAGCATACCATGGTCAATGCAAGATGAATTCCAGACCTCTAGGCTTTCATGACAGTAATTACCCTTGCTAATCCCAGGCAAGCTCCCAGACCCACCACTGCAACAGAAGGCTGCTGCATTGCTTACTTGGTAATTACACAGGAGCCTCACAACCCATTGCCTCAGCGATTACCTTGTGTGTGTCCCACCAGGAAGAAGAGCTCAAACTTCCCTTCAACTCCCGCCCCCCTCAGAGGAAGTAAGTAAAGGTTTGGCAGCCATCTGGAAAGACTGTTGATTCTAGTCTAGAAACCTATAGATTTCACTACGAAGCTCCTCCTCAGACCCTTCTTCATCAAAGTTTTATTAGCCTCAACTCAAAGGCAAGGTACCTCCATCTGGACATCTCATTACAGAGCAAGGACACTTCAGCCATTTGTAACACCACCACCCAAGCAGGATTTTCAAGGACAGCAGCAGAAATGAGTCGCAAGGGAGATATAAATCTTCCTTGCACCCTTTCCCATCTTCCATGCACTTGCTCTCTCAACCCACCTATTTCTTTACAGTCCGTAACTGTGTTACTCCCATTCCTTAAGTGCATCTCTTGACACTCTCATCTCTGCTCATTTATTCACTCTTCCCTTTGCCTGGAACTCATTCTCCCCTGGTTGAAATCTATCTTCTGCTTTGAACTCCAATCATATTTAATATTCACTTATCTTTTGGCACTTGTCACATTACATTCTTCATTACAGTTCTTCAAAATCATTCTTTTTTTCCCTCCTACTTGACTATAAACTACCTATGTGACTTCAATGTAAATTACTGCACCAGATACTGGTGACATATGTATGCTATATATGTGATAATTTACGGAGATATTTGTGTTTTGTTCTCATTTATGTGGGTAATTTCTCTCCTCCACCCCCAAGAAGATAGCCAGGCCTTAATGTTCCTTAGTTGAAGTCCTCTAAGTTTCAGATTCAAAAATCAACAGTTTCCAGTCACCCATAAGATAATTTTCAGAAATGCTTCTGAAAGCATGGACTTATTAGGGGTTCGATCCTGAAGGAAAAGGGATGGTAGTAAGAGCTTTGAATGGGGGAAGCAAAAATCTGAGGGAAGGAAAGGCTAAAGGCACCAGGTTTTTTAGTTTATGACATAATAGAGACCTACGCTAATTTGCATATAGCACCCCCAGGATGAGGACAATGCTGTGGGAGACTGTCCAGTATTTACCTTGAGAGAAGGGCCCTGCACGTAACAGGTCTCCGGCCCCACACTCCGCGAGCTCGCGCCTAAGACAAAGACATTCCACAGCTCCCGCCCCCTCCGAACTCCGCCAGAAGGGGGAGGAGACACGTGTCCCGCTAGAGCAGAGTCACGTGGAAAAGAAAACGAACGGAGCCCGCGGCCACCCGCGCAAGCGCACAAAGCTCTGGCCTGGCGGGCTCGGAGGGAAACCGAGAGCGAGGAGGCGACCTGTCCGGGGTTCCGCGGTGGTGCGCAAGCGCCGTCGTACGTCTGGCGACTTTGTTCTCCGCGGAGAGACCCAAGGGCGGTGCCGGTGGCTGGCTGCGCACGCGCGCCGCTTCATTTCCGGTGCTCTCTCTCGCTGGGTCGCTCGGGTCGGCTTCGGTCGCCGTCGCTCCCGCTCTCCCACCCCCGCCAACGGCCGCTCGGGCCTCTGCCGCTGCCGCGTCGCTTCCTCGATCTCTCGATCGCACATCCTCCCCAATGCAGCGCCGGGACGACCCCGCCGCGCGTATGAGCCGGTCCTCGGGCCGCAGCGGCTCCATGGACCCCGCAGGTGCCCACCCCTCAGTGCGTCAGGCGCCTTCTCGGCAGCCGCCGCTCTCTCACCGGTCCCGGGGAGGCGGAGGGGGCCCCCGGGGGGGCGCCCGGGCCTCTCCCGCCACGCAGCCGCCACCTCTGCTGCCGCCCTCGGCCACGGGTCCCGACGCGACAGTGGGCGGTCCAGCGCCGACCCCATTGCTGCCTCCCTCTGCCACTGCCTCGGTAAAGATGGAGCCGGAGAACAAGTACCTGCCCGAACTCATGGCCGAGAAGGATTCTCTCGACCCGTCCTTCACTCACGCCATGCAGTTGCTGACGGCAGGTAAGCGGACCTCCTAGGTCCCTCTGGGTCCCCCAGTCTCCCGGGGACATGGATGACAGCGGCTTTGTTCCTCTTGCTTCCCGCCCCGGGGACCGAGGCATTAATGAACTCCCCTTCTCTCCCCCTCATCTTAAGGAGTCTGGATTCCACATTCCCATTCCGGCCCAGGGTGCTAGGGAGAGTTTTTAGGCTGCAATGGAGGCCGGTAGGGGACTTGGCGATCTCTTAGTGCAAAGATCTTGATGGATAGTCCTGCGCTCCCCGCCTTCTTGCCGACCCTTTCCCCTCCCACCTCTTGCAGCTGCCGGGCTCTCCCAGTGCTCAGATTCTTCCAGAAGTGAACCTTTATCTCCCCTTTAACCTTAAGCCCCAAAGGGAAGGCTTTTTTGATGGCGGGTGGTGGTGGGCGCCTTCACTGAGAGTGTAGAGGGTGAAGACAGCCTGAGCGGGGAGGAACCGTGGGAGGGAAGGTCGAGGTGAGGTGGGTTGAGGTTGGAGTGCCCTGCCCAACGCGCCGCGGTCTCTGGGGTCGGGTCGAACTTAGCGGTAACTGGAGCTTAAGTTGCTCGGAGAAGTTGCTGTGGGAATCCGAGCTTGGGGTTTTCCGGACAAGATTTTCAATTTCGGCGGATAAAATGATAATTGCTACATAACCGGAAGGTTGGACACCTTTATATTACAGCGTGTGTTCACCATCATTCAAGAAAGGGGATGGGAGGAACTTCAGTGAACTGGGTTAGAGGTAGGTAAAGGTGTTTGAGTGACATTATCCAAAGAGATGGACAAAAATCGAGAGAAGTTGCATGATACTTGTACTTGAAAGGCTGAGTCTTGTTTTGTTTTGTTTTGTTTGCTCCAGTAGTAAGATGGATTAGCAGTAGTAGTCTTTGTTCTCTATACTAGCGCTCCTTCCCTGCTCTCGACTGACCAATCACCTAGTCGCAGTGATTTTTCCATGCCATCTGTTTTGCCCTCTCTTCTAGTTAGAACGTTGTTATAATAAGCATTTCTTCTGATAATTAAGTTTTGTTAAGGAAGTAAAAACTCATAGCCTTCAGCACTGAATGAGTAGTTGTACTCTTTGGCAAGGTTGATACAATGGACAGATGGTTAGGAAAATTTCCCTCCCTTTGTTCTGTATCTCCCAACATTGGTAAGGGGTCTTTACTTTTAAACACAATAAACAAAGCAGTCTGTGGTCAAGAATAAAAACATTTAGATAAACTGCTTACATTTTCAACTCAGTGCTTTATTGTTCTGTAACAGATTGTTTGAAACATTACTGTTCATTTCTTCTGGCAAGCTTTTTGAAGGCAAGGAATGCTTCTTATCTTTATATATTTCATATTTTGTCTTGCAAATAGCAAACGCCAGGTGTTTGAGTCTGAAAGCAAGTACATGCAGATGTAGGAATGTCAGACTAAATGGTAAAGGTTGACTTGTTAGTCTTATTTCTATTTCCTAAAATCTTTCATCAGTCCAGGTTAGATGTATAGGAATAAACTTTAGAACCTTAAGGTGTTGGCTTGGGTTTCAAATTCTGATGCTTAGCTAGTGAGCTACTCTTGAGAAACTTTCTGAACCTCAGTTACCTCATCTGTAAAGTGGGATGGTGAGGGTTTTTTTTGGTATCATTAATCTACAATTACATGAGCAACATTATGGTTATGAGACTCGCTCCATGTGTAAAAGCCCTAGCACAGTTTGTTTCCACCTATAATCAGCAGATAACTTGTCACCACAGTTTTCTCCTAGTTGTGCTAGGTACTGCAAAAGGTATGTAAATGGAAGATATTTTTTGCCTTTCTGACAACACCAAATGCCCAGCATGGTGTTCCTCTTTTAAGTAAAAGATGGTTTCTTAGGGTAACCATCAGAAACTATTGATCCTTTAAAGTTGCTTACATCTTTACGCTTCTTTCACTGCTTAAATTCTGTTACAAGAGAGTGCTCTGTAATTTTTTAACTTGGGCTTTTTTAATGTCTTTTAAACAAACTGCACTTCTAATTGGAGAAATGGGATTGAAGTAATGCTAGTTCATTGAGAGAACAGACTTGGTATGTATGGATACTTAGCATGGATAGGTCTTAATATATGTTGGACCAGGCTTTCAAGGTATTTTTGAACGATCTGGAAAAGGGTTTTGTGGTAAAGCCAATTCTAAGAAAACAGAATAATAGTATTTAAGCTCTGATGAGGATACATGTAAGAAAAATAGAACTAACACTGGGCTGATAAGTCTGAGCACTTTACATCAAATATTTAGTTTCACAATGATACTCATCACTTCGTGCCACTTTTTTTTGTTTGTTTCCATAGCAATTTTTTTTTGGTATCATTAATCTACAGTTAGTTACATGAGCAACATTATGGTTACTAGACTCCCCTCATCATTGTGCCCACCACATACTTCATTACAGTCACTGTCCATCAGCGTAGTAAGATGATATAGAATCACTACTTGTCTTCTCTGTGTTGTACAGCCCTCCCCATGCTCCCCATCCTACATTATGTCTGCTAATCGTAATGCCCCTTTTTCCCCCTTGTCCCTCCCTTCCCACCCATCCTCCCCAGTCCCTTTCCCTTTGGTAACTGCTAGTCCATTCTTGGGTTCTGTGAGTCTGCTGCTGTTTTGTTCCTTCAGGGTTTTTTTTGTTTTTATACTCCACATATGAGTGAAATCATTTGACACTTGTGTTTTTCTGCTTGCCTTATTTTACTGAGCATAATACCCTCTAGCTCCATCCATATTGTCACAAATGGTAGGATTTGTTTTCTTCTTATGGTTGAATGGTATCCCATTGTGTATATGTACCACATCTTCTTTATCCATTCATCTATCATAGACACTTTGGTTGCTTCCATTTCTTGGCTATTGTAAAGAGTGCTGCAATAAACATAGGGGTGCATATGTCTTTTTGAAACTGGGCTGCTGCATTCTTGAAATTCCTGGGTCAAATGGTATTTCTATTTTGAGTTTTTTTAGGAACCTCCATACTGCTTTCCACAATGGTTGAACTAATTTACATTCCCACCAGCAGTGTAGGAGGGTTCCCCTTTCTCCACATCCTCACCAACATTTGTTGTTTGTCTTTTGGATGGTGGCCATCCTAACTGGTATGAAGTAATATCTCTTTATGGTTTTAGTTTACATTTCTCTGATGTAGAGCATCTTTTCATGTTCCTGTTTGCCACTTCTTACCACTTTTTGCAGATGAGGAAATCAAGGCACATAGAGATTAATAAATTTGCCTGAAGTAATGAAATTAGCAAGCAGCATAACTTGGATTTGAAATCAAGTCTGGGTCTGGATCCTCATTCCTAACCCTCTCCAGCCCCCACTCTAGTACCTGCAATAAATTATACTTTAAAAAATAATATGGTACTAATTGGACAAAATACTAAAATCTATTTGAACACAAAGTGCTAGCTAACAGGGCAGTGAAGATGACAAAGCCAAGATACAGAAGGAGGAGGAAACCCAGAAAACAGAGCCTAGCACTTGGGACTGTGACTCCTCTGGGCACCAAAGAGGTGATGCAAGACCCAAACCTCTCTTCCTTCACCAGCCACATACCTCTCCCTTTCCCTTTCCCAGCTTTATTTTGCCCTTACCAGCATCAGGGCACCATATATTGTAGTTATATTTGTTGACCACACCTTCTTCACCCCTCCTCTTTCACAGCTAGAAGTCAGCTTCATCAGGATAGGGATCTTTTGTCTGCTTTGTTCACCACTGTATTTCCTGTTACTGAAGAGTGCCTCACCGAGTGGCCTCTCACTAAATATTTCATGTATGAATATTCATCTTCACTGCATGATGGAAAAATATCAACACAATTCTGAGAGATTTAGATTTTGAATATAGACTAATATATTAGCCAAACTGATTTTCAACTATGATGACAACTTATATTTGCAGACATGCAAGTGTACCCATGTTTGTTTTCTGAAACAAAAACAATTGATCTCTTTGTGTTACATATTTATATAATAAACATAAAATGCTTTTATGTGTATTAGGTGTCCTTTTTCTGCTTTGTACAATTAGGAAAATAGAAGTTTGTATAAATGACTCAGGAATAAGTAAACATTTTGAATACATTAACAATCCCCGGAGTATCTTGAAAGGATACTCAGAAATGCATTTTCCAAAAGCACTTAGTGAACATTTACAAAGTCTGTTGAAGTTTCAGAATAATTAATTCCTTTACTTTATTTACAGTATGCTATAGCAATATATGTAGACATTCCCATTTTATTCTC